TAATGAAGATTTCTAATTCAATAATCTACAGAAAATTAAATTTAAATCTTGCAAGGTCATAGCAATAAATGAAATTTTACATATGATATTTAATATACGGAATTAATTATCCAACACCTAAAAGAGCTGATGATTGTTGCCTCAGTTTGACAAGTTCGAATTCAAATACATGCCATCATTGACTTAAGTAAGACTCGAATGGTGTATACTAGGTAATGTGTGTCCGGAGCTACTTGTAAATGATCATCATGTATTCAACCAATCAGCATCGCTGAAGCCGATGGACAGACTTTCACATGATCTAAATCTGTCGTAAAAACATAGTCCTCCGCTCCGGACAAAAATTGACGAATTAAGTGACATAAAAAAGAGTATATTAAACACAAAGAACAGACAACCTAATAAAAAAAGTATTTAAACATCTAAGCTCTGGATCCCAATGGTTTCCGTTTCCTAGTAAATCGATATACGTACGTACTGACATATCAGATATCAGATATGTGCTTCTCTTATGCAAACGGAATCTTATTATTTAACTAGAATTGAGAGAACTTATTTTAATGAACTCGAGCTTGAACTTCAAAGCTAATCTAGAGTTTATGCTTCAAGTTTATAAACTCAAATTCAAACTCAAGTTCAAATTTTAAAATTAACTGAAATTTATAAACTTTAGTTTGTTTTTCTCTTGAGACTGAACACTAACATCCTTAGCTACTTTGACCTTTTAAATGCTTTTTAGCTATAGTGGTTATTTCTACTTAATGAATTCATTAATTAATAGTTTTTAAAAGTGATTGTTTTTCTTACATGAAGGACAATTACCAAAAGCGCAAACCCCATTGTAAACCAATAATAACAAACTAACCAGCTATCTATTAATTTATTTTTAGTTACGTAGGCAGTAGTTTTTTTCTCCGTTTTTCAATAATCACCTCATCGGTATTTAAGGTTAACCTAGTTCAGATTAAAATTAAGTTAAGTTAGGTTAGAGTTAAGGTCAGGAGAACGACGTACAGTGCTCTTTCTCCTAAATAAATATTTGTCGCTATATACTCTAGTATTTAATGATTTAATTTACTATCAATGAATAAAATTCTAACAAAATTACAAATATATCTTTAGGGGAAGCACCAGAATGACATAATTTAAAAGGGGGAGAAAGGAGGTGGTGTTCACAAGTTAATTAAAGAATGATGGGGCAAAAATTATTAAATGACAATCAAAGATAGGTCATTTTTGGCGTACGCCCACTATAAGCATAACTCTTTAAATGTAAATACTTAATCAATCTCAATCGTTTAGAAACCTTAGAAAATTTCTCTTTCCTATAATGCCTAGGATATAATCTTGAATTACGGCCTGAATTAAGCTTATTTCGGACATTATCTTAACGCGCATGTTCGTTATTTATGAATAAACGTTTCCAAATGCATACCATCTCTAAATATACATATACATATACATATTTCGGCATATGGTCACAAGAGAGTACACTTTAGAGATTTGACTATTTTGACTATACAGTTTTTTTTTTTTGCATGTGTTACATATAAACTGCTAGGAGCTCTGTCGTTGTTTACATCAACAACTTTAATACATTTGGTGCTTAAATAAGCATAATACACAAAAGAAAAAAAGAGAGAATCTTTCGTGACTATTTACTACAGTATAACAGATAAGACATTTCGTTAACAAAGAACAAGGTCGAAGAGAATAAAATAGAACATGAGTATGTCTTTTTTTGTATAAAAGTTATCAAAATAATCATACCGATAGAATGCCGAATTTTTTCTTGAATAGTGTTTTTGAAACGCGTAAACCCGATTTACGTACTATTTAAAGATATTGTACGTAATACGTATAAAACGCCACTCCAATTCTAGTACTTTGCCCGGATTAAAAAAAAAAATAGGCGTTTCAGATTCTCTCTTTGATATTTACGTTATATATTATCGTTATGTATTTAGAAGTACAATGTACGTAAGTGCGTACGTACGTACGTATGTATGTATGTATGTATCATGTATATAACCTAAACTGGATTTGGTCATATTATAATTGTGAACATCTTTGTTGATCAGGGTAATTTATAAATTTGTACTCACTCACGTACGTACGAGCGTAGTTCGATTGAAAGTTTTAAGGATTTGTTAAGAATGATGAGTTTTTTACCACATTTATGTCTTGAAAATATATTTCTAAGCCTAGCACAAGATTCAAAAACTTTACATTCATGCATTCTAGTTAACAAACAATGGAGCGTATCGTCTGTTCCAATATTATGGAGAGATCCATTTAGACTCTGTAAGGATCTTCGTAAGCCGAATAAACTTGTACCGTTATTGAATACTTATTTATCATTCCTTCCTTCGACTACTCAAAAGCTTCTTGACATCAAATCAATTATTGGCCGACCAGCGACTTTTAATTATCCTGTTTATTTACGCAGCATAAATGTAGTATTGATTCATGGAAGTGTTGAATATTGGACTGAATCTATGTTTGGCGCAGATTCAACTTCTTTGCAAAAAATTACACCTATTTGTCAAGTTCTATGCGAATATTTTTTATGTAATTCATCTAGAATTGATTATCTTGATCTTGAATATGCGAGTTGGTTTGATATATTTAAACTTAATGGTGCAACTACTTCATTATCATCGATTAAATCAGTCGTAATAGATGACCAACGAAATTTTCCTGAACAATTCAAGAATCTTTCATCAGTCATGCAAAATACTCGATATTTACGGTTATCTTTAATATATAGAAAGAATGATCCTGCTTGTAAAAATATTATAAATCTTTTACAAACTCAAAAATATTTGAAAAAAATTAGTTTATTTAGTCACGTATCAGATTTTTTTCAAAATATTTGGGATACTCTTGCTTCATCACAATTACTTCACAAAAGTTTAACATCAATTGAATTTCATGAAGCAACATTTGATAATTCAGCTCTTTTACAAGTATCTAGATTTTATAATCTACGACACTTAAAACTCTATAGGTGTAGAAATTTTACTGGTGAAATTCAAGAAATTAACAATTCATTAGTATTTCAAAATCTTTCTCAATTAATTATTTGCAAGATAGGTGTGAATCCACGAATATTAGAGTTTCTTTTAGAGAAATCCAATACAAGTCTTAACGTCTTAGAATTTCATGATCATGTTCTCAATTTTTACGAAACTATTCTTTGGTGTACAAGTTTTTGTCAGAATCTTTCAAGATTTGTAGCATCTATTCAAGTGAATCAAATCAGGGATATCATTTTACTTTTTAAAGAATGTAAGAAACTTGAGTATTTTCATATATATGATGCGAAACTTTTATTTGAAGATGAGGAAGAACCATTGGATGAATATAGTCCACCAGAATTAGAATCATTTCGCGCAAATGAATTATTAGAAGAATTAGGATCATGTATACCAATGACTATGAGAACGATCAAAGTTTGGATGAATTGGTTAATTGAGATTGAAGATATCGAGGCATTTATTTTAAAATGTGTAAATTTTGGCTTGAGTATGAAAGTCATAGAATTTAGACACTGCAAAGGATTTGGGAATGCTCATAAGGAAGTGATTAGAAATTATTTGTTGAATAATAAATCATCAACTTAACAATCATTTTAAATCTTTTTTATTTGCGATAAGCATTATTATACATGCCTTTTTTTCTTTAAATGAATAATGTATTTTAAATTTGATCATATTTATTTTTATGTAAACGTATATACTGTAATGATATGTCTATATCGAAGAATAAAGTTGCTGGTCACAACTTTTATATAAATTTTTTTCATGATACAGTCTGGAATTCTGTTAATTCAGATATACTTAAGTTGATTTCGAATCCAAAATCAACTTAAGTTATTTCAAATCTTAAAAATAATATAAATTTTTGAAAGAATAAAAAATTATTGTTAGATGCAATAATCTTTATATTCACACAATTACTGACAATTACTATACGAGAAAAGAATATTAACCGATTTTCGATATGAATCAACTAAAATCTTAAGTTTGTCTAAAATCACTAGCTGCTAACGCGTAAGAAATCACAGGAATTTAGTCCACCTCTACTATAGCTTGCACAAACGTAAAAGTGAATGCAAGATAATTTTATAAGTAAATGTAGATGTTCATTCTAGTAAGTAGAAGTATAAAATAGAGATAAACTGCCGTATAAAACAGCTATGAGACATAGTGCTAAATCCACCTACAAAATGTCGGGTAATAAGTATATACATCTCTTGAAAAGAATTTCATTTAATCATTTGATTTCTAGTCTTTGGTATCGTGATGTTTATTAAACCTTACCTCTTTCTATTTCAAAGCTGAATTAAGGCATTTAATACCTCGTCTATATGTGCAAGAGTATCTGGGACGATGTTACTTTTGAGATTTTGAATTTTGGATTTTTAGTTTAGCAGCATATTGTCATGGGGTGAACAAATAAGAACCAATGCCACTATGTTTGAGGCTATGGACATTCGGTTGTAACGTATGAGGTTTGTCAGCCAAACTGTAGCAAACATTCCAGACGAACAACAAACATCTAAGGAATGAATACATATAGAAGGTTTAGTAAAGAAAAAAGGAGTCCCTTTCGCCCCTTAGAATAGTAAAGATATAAAAAGGCTGAAAATTCACCATTTTAGAAGGGATAAAACTAATTTCCTAAATTCATTTTCTTTGTCATTTCATCACGTCATGTCTCTGGCGAATTGCCTTAATGTTATTTTGTTGTATTTTATTACGTTTTTTGTTTGCACGTTGCCTCATATCAGTATATTCTTTTTTCGCTTTATTTAACGAATGTAGTATGAAATATACTGATATTCGGGAACCCTTCAACTAATATATAACTATAAATATTTAGTATTGACTATCATAAAAAAAAAATAATAATAAAAAAAACCATACACGGAGTATATCTACTGTACAACAATAAATACATGAATGTAGTCTATAAAAGTAGCTTAATAAGAGATTTTACTCTTCATGAACGACAGTAGTACCATTATCAAAACATGGTAAATTTGAAGCAATAATATACATCAGATCATTTTCCTTTAGAATACATTTTTTATCAGGATTAACGTAAACATATCGGAATCCTTGATTATTATATGCAGCATGTCGGTATAATCCAAGTGGTATGGCTTTATGCGCTCTAACTAGGTGTCTGTAGAGCGTTTGATATTTTTGACCTTTAAAGAAAAATAAATCGATGTATTAGTCTAGTTATTCCTATTTTAAGGACCTAATTCTATATATCTTACGTACCTATATATAGAGATGGGACTTCAACTTGAAATACATGACCTGAATTAAGTCCCATATTAGCCCAAAAATTAATACCGTCTTGCTGCATTCCAACCTTTGGTGTTAAATTTTCATCATTTCCATCATGACTGAATATTAAACGTTTTAAAATCACAGGAATGTGGCGGTTATAAAAACTGTCATTTTTATAATCATAAATCATACCAGTTAGCATTCACAAGATTAACAAAAATCTAATCAATTTTTTTTTTACCATTGACAAAGCATAGTATCTAAATGACCAGGCGTAAATACATTTCCGCTCATGAAAGATGGTCGCATTAGTGCTTGAACTAAATTTTTGATTTTCAACAAAATTCATATATATATATTAATAATTATTTTGATACATAAAATAATAACTATTATCATTAATTATCATTAGTTGAAATTGCTTACTATAATCTTCTTGACAATTCTTAATCGAATCACTTTCTCCTATCAATTTAAATGTTTCTCGATGCATACATTCGACCAATACAAAACAATCATCTCTTGCAAGTGCCTCAACATTCAATGCTGTCATGAGTGATGTGGAATCTGCTGTCCCATCGCTTATCCTATGAAGAATAATGAAATTAATTATTGTCACGGATGATGGTGAAATCGGATGATCGTGAAATCAAACCCTATTTAATATACGATTTTTAAAATTTT